CCAGTGAGATCTTTTGATTCTCTTATAAAGCGATGCCGAGAGCTGAAAATATAAAGTGTCTGACTTTGATTGTGGGTGGCATGTAAGAGATACAGGTGACTTTTGAAGTCACTTATGTGCTCCGGCAGTCATTATTTTTATTAAAAGTGCTGCCAGGGTGGATAATGAGAGCCCTCTACAGAGAGCAGTTATATTTTGAAATCTATAGCTTATTGATTACATATTTGATTCTAATTTTTATTTTTTTAATCCTGAGACAACTGCATTTCCATAACATCCCTACTGATGTCACTGGCATTACAACTAAACTGCTTTATGCCAGTAAATCAATAGTTCAGTTTACTACAGCCTCTGTTATTTTCCTCTCTTATGTTCCATGCTTGTCTCACTCTATCCCTCTGATGTTGTCATTTCTGCAACCACGCAGGATATGAAACTCATCTAGTGTTGTGGCCACCCACTGTCGCTGCTCTGCTTGCACCATATGGTGTCAATAGGTACTCTGAAAAGAGACCTTTCGGATAGCGACTGACTGCCTGACACTTGGGAGCAGTTAGAGAGATGGTGTTTAATGTAATTTGTCTACTTAAATATTTTAATGGTGGGGGCAACAAACTGTTAGAACCAGTAATCATCTGCTTGAATGAGTAGACTTACATCATAGGTCTATGAATATGTGATAAAAGCCAAGGTTTCCCTTGATAAGTTAATGCTGCTGTGGGTCTATAGAAAGTGCTATAATAGGAAACAAAGTGTTCCAACGCAACATTACATATGCCTCAGACATTTTATTTTAAGTGCAAATCAGTGACTGTACTTGTAAAGATTGTATTAGAACGATAAATAATTGAAGTGGACTTACTGCCTTTCTGAGAATCAGGCTTCAAATAGTCCTGCTTTAAAAAATATAAATGCATAATTCTTGCATAATTTTTACAATTCTTAACTGATATTTAAGGGAATAAGATTTTTTTTTTGATTGATACTTGGAAGCCCAAGTAAAACTTTCCTTTAGAAATGCTAGTTTCAGATACTGACACTTAGAAGCACCCCTCAAAAGGAACACAAACACCCACGCACCCTTTTCCTCCGCTCAGAGAACTGCCACAGCATATTTATTTTCTTTTATGGGAATCCTGTTTTTCACTGGACAAGCAAAAGCCAAGAAATAGGATGTCTCTAATGCGTTAACCGAGAGTATAAACTTTAATCACATTAGGGAACTGAAGGCAGGGATTTTAAAAGCATCTCAGTTTAGCTCTTCCGAGAATCCTGTACCAAACCCTTAATTCTATTTATCACCTGTACTGTCCTAAAGGCACAACCTGAAAAGGAATAAAACCAATAGGACTCTTCACATTTACTTCAATGGGCTTTGGATCAAGGCCCAAGCATCTTAAGTTACAGAGATAAATATTTATTTAATCAGTCAAGTTTTCCAAAACAGCTGCTGTTGAGATCAACAGCAAATTTATTGGTCTTCAGGGAAAACAAGGATTAAGCCTACACTTACTGCTTTGCTGTACTGCTGAAACTTAAGTAAAAGGAACTGGGATTTAGGCAGTGATAATACTAAACGTATTTTAAAATATTTAGCTTTTGGTGTTAGTAGCTGTCATTAACACATTAGCTGTCTCCTGTGACTAACCATCACAAATACATTAACTATTCCCAAAAGCCATTTAATGGATTAACATGTATGGTTACCTGAAAAACAGTATCATACCTGTCTAACTGTTCAGGGCTATATTAACTTTAAAAATAAGTTTGCCTTGAAAAAATAAAGACTAAGGCAAGGACACAACTATGCCTATCGTGAAAAACAGTGTGATTAAGGGATCAACACCTACAACAGGTGGCTGCCAACTTTGTTATGAAAGGCTGTCTTTCCAAAATGTAGCAACATTAATTGGGCTGCCTCACTTTCTGTAAGAAATTAATAGAGGGAACAATGGTTGGGTTTAATGGGATGACAAGATACCTTAGGAAGGTGATCCCAGTTCTACTCTAACATAGGCGGGTGCTTCTCACACTTGTTTACCTGAAAGCATCTTTGTTTGAAACGGAGTTCTCAACTCGGTACATTTGAAATCAATATACTGTCCTGGGTTGGCAGGGAGCACCTCCTGCATGGCTTCGCTAGGAGCTGGGCTGCGGGATCCCACATTCGAGGGACAGCCAGGGCCGGTACTAAAGGCATGAAGGTGCCTGCTCTTTACGCAAGGCATACAACACAAGCGGGGAGAAACTCCCTAATCCACCTTTAATTATACAGCTGTACGTGACCAAAACAGCTTTAGCCTAAGAGCCAGTCCAGTCTAAAACAGAGAAACATTTTGACATGAAAAGCACTGAAAGTGCACAATAGAAGGACTAGAAAGCTAACCTGCATGAGTTGGAGACAAGGCTATTGAGACTTACTGCAAATAATCACAAACGCATTTCACCTTGGTAACACGTTATCCAGGCTATGCTAGATGTGCGCTGTACGTACAGCAAAAATATTATTTGTGGATGTTTTACAAACGTTCATTGTCACTCTTCATATTGGTATAAATTCAAGCTTGCTTGAGCTTTAAAGGAAGAGAATGCCATAACGCTTATTTTAGAAACTGATGAGATTGACCCAAGTAGCTTTTCTGTAGATACAGGGGATAGATACAGTTTTCTGTAGATACAGTTTAATCTGGATCAATGCCAAATTAGTTTGATACTGTGATCTTTTAGCATCAGAAGCAAGCGTTGTATGTCTTGCTAGGAAGGTAGGAATCTTCTTTGTCCAAGACTATAAAGATTTCATTTCAAGTCCTGAGGACTGAGAAATAATCAAACCTGAAAGCTGTCATTGGTACAGCAGAACTGTTGCCCATTTGCACCTCTGACCTGTACAATTTTGATCTGGGGTAGACATGCAGCAATTGCTTTCCATTTCTGGAAGGCAAGAAAGAGCATCACTACAGCAGATTGATTTTAAAAAATTGGCCTCTGCTTGAAAGTCCTCAGGTTTGAAATTATGTTTAACTGATACGAAAAAAATAAAGATTTTTTTTGTAGGTATCAGGCAGTCAAAAGGGAGAGCACCCTCTGCTCCCACCATGCTTGCAGGCATCTTTCTGTCACCCTTGATATAATCATCCCTATGCCTTTCTCTTCACACCCTTTAAGGATACAGCAGTCTGCCAAAGCCTATCTAGCCTGCTTCTGCTCTGTGTTTAAGACCCTCCTGAACTTTGCCATACAGCTTGCAAAATCTACCTGCATACTTACACGTGTATTCAGATTGCTTCTTTCATCACTGTTCCACTTAATTATCTAATCTAGAACCAGTTTCTCAAAGTAAGGATAATTTTTCACTTCTTGGAAAGCACTGAACTCGTATGTATGTAACTGAGGTCCTAAAACCATGAAGGCAATATTACAGGAGAGCTGTATAAAAAAAAAAAAGATTACAAACATGAGACATAATATAGTTCTGCCAAAAAACAGAATACAAAATGCTGCAATTTTTATATTTCTGTCTGTAGCTTAATACTTACCTCTCCTCAGCTTGGTTTATTTCATGAAATTATCCACTGTTTTTTATATCCGTGCCACTAAGGTGATAAAACAGCTCTGAATTAATCTTTGATATTACCCATTATGATGTGACTATGTTCTTATAAAAGATGACTTTATTGATTTTGGAGGTTTTTTTATGATACTGGAAAAAACAAGATTTGACTTTGTAAACAAGTAGGCATGAGATTTATTTTTTAAAAGCATATATAAACCTGAAAAGTCATACTGAATTCAGTGAAACTAACATGTTAAAAAACTTCACAAAATTAGGCTTTGAAAATTACACAAGCAAATTATTCAACAACAATTTTGCATATTGATTTAAACTTGAGGATGAGCCAAAATACTAGAATTTATTTAATAAGACATGTAAATTGGTTTGAATAAAATCCATTTTCTAGTGAAAACAAACTACTTTCAAGTAGAAATGACACCCACTTTGTAGTAGAATAGCTCTGACGTTTAAGTATTTGTGCAAAAAATTCCTAATAACCGTGGACTGAGTTGCTTTTAAATGAAGAGGACAAACATTCAACTACATGCTGCAGGAAACAGTATTTCCTAAGCAGAAGGTTGAAAACCAGCTAGTTGCTTTCTTCCTATAGTCTGACCTTGTTCCTTACTGAATGGCAAGGCTTCCAAAGGAGGAAGAATATTGGGACACGAATTTTTAAAAAAGCATATCTTAAAGCATTTCCTTCAGTTAGGTAAGCACTTGAATAGTCAATTACTTTGCTAAATTTTAATCTAAAACAGGTATTAAGCTAGAAAATTTAGGAAGTTAGCTTGTCTACAGAGATTTTTTTGCACTTCAGGTGCTGAAAGGAGGTGAGAGTACAACAGTCGCAGAATATTGGTGTTTCCATTTCCAAAAGACACAAGAAATAAGTATTTCATTTTTTAATCTAAAGGAAAAAGAGCCAGGATTACCATGATTAATGTTTAGACACCACCAAACAATCAAGCATCAGTCTCAGCTGCTGTTTGTCATTTGCATACACCTTCGCAAATACAAAGGAAGGGTTGGTAGGAGCATGAGATGAAACTTGGGGTCAATACTTGTTTAATCTGAATTAATGAATATCAAATCATGTGGACAGCACATGCTTAAGTAACAAAATAACTGCAAAATTCAGATTTTTCTCCGGCCTCAAGCTTGCATTTCTCTTCTTAGGGCTAGAACAGGAAATTTTTACAGAAAACCTTACATTGGGAAGAGCTGATGAATAACTTGACTGGACCCAGACTACTTGGTCTGAACCAAATCCAGATTTGGCTGCTCTTCAATTTTACTATCACTCCAAAAGCATCCAAATGCCTAGAAACTTCAGCTGGACTTTGGTCAAAAAAATGATTCAGAACAGACAAAAAAGTGTAAAAATAGCCTCATTGATTTCAGTTCCTTAGATGAAATACATAGGAACAAAGCTAGACAGCTGGATACTTATTTGCAAGTTAAGACCGAAGAGCCCTATGTGGACAAGATCCCAAGCAAACGCTGAAAGGGTTTCCCCTGAAAAAAAGGGGAGGGGGAGAGGAGATGCACTGTAAAAATAACACCATGTAGCAAAGACAGTTTCAATCTACATGTGGCATTCTTTGTACACACCTTCCTTTGCACAAACCTTCCTGAGAAAGGAAGGTTTATTTTTCTTTCAGCTTTGCCTGCTTCTTATTTCTTTTTATCTTGCCTTCACTGCATATTTGCTCACAGAGTTGTCTTGCTTTTAGTTCATGATTGAGAGTTTCTTTTGGGAACAGGCTCTTCTCATCAAAATTTCAAGGCTACAAAACAGGAGTGAATTCCACATCAAAATCAGCTACACATTTAGTGAGACACACTGTTAGAAATCAGGCTGTCGGAAGAGGGGAAAATAAAGAGGCAGACCTCAAGCATGCAACTCACAAAGAACACCACTGATTTTTCTGCTTCCCTCTGATGCAGTGTTAGCTTTCCAGTAATCTTCTCCCAGTTAGGGAAACGAGGCTTATTCATTCATGAGGACTGTCCTATGCCTCCCTCTGACTCAGAAACTTTGAGTCCATTGGCCAAGTTTAAGAAGGAAGAGTTAAGATCTCAGATAACTTAATTCCCATGAAACAGGAGAATCGATGGAGCGGATGGAGAGGAAGAGCCTTTCTCTTGGAGCAGTACTGCAAATAAATGCAGTGCCTATAAGAGAGCAGGGGATGATAGCCCTTCTTGAAAGGTGTCCCAGCTCCAGGAAAATCTTCAGTCAGAGCTACCTCCTTGTTAGGCACTTAAGTCAAACCCAGTTTATCTCAAGAGACAAATCCCTAGAAAATGAGGCCTTACTGATGCTTATATAACTGTTTATTATATTTGATTTCCTTCCTACTTAAAGAGATCCTAAAATCATCCCCAAATGGAGAGATCTTCCTGTACTCACTGCCTGTACCCAAACCATTACAATGTCAAGCAGCACTGCTTACTTTTTCACGGATGCACTAATTCCCTGCTCTACCGGGAAAGAGACCAGACTGGCTTTTTTTTTTTTTTTAAATATTCTTTTAATTCATTTTGTCTTCTTTACTGCCATTACAGACTCAAAAAAAATCAAATTATCCTCTGTTGAAACAAGATTATTAAAACTTTGCTGACTGTCTGCATGACTGAGCAGGTTTACCCTGCAACCATGTATTTACATATATACACACACACAGCAGGCTGATCTTCAGGGATTCCTCCAGCCCCAGATTAAGGACAAGATTATTCTTACTGTGCACCTGTCTCTGCTGCTAAAGTCAGACAAGCTCATAAGTAAGAATTAAACAATATTCACTGAGCTGTTACTATGACACCTGACAGCATCTCATTTTAGGACAGACTGGAGGTGAGCCTATGCTGTTCTTCAGGAAAGAGGCCTCAGGAATTCATTAACTGGTTAAGATTTCCACACATTCCTCGCATTAACTCATCAGAGCATAGATGAACTACAGAGATCAAAATTTAAACAATCATTTAAGCTGAAAGTCTACTTGCATTTAAAGCTCTGAATCCAGTACATGAAGACTGTTAGATACACGCAGGAAGAGGTCTCAGTGCTGACAGTGCCTTATGACTGTGATATGACTGTGCCCACCCTAGATTAAAACTATCCACTAACACAAACTTGACTGACATGGCAAAGACTTGTATCAACAATCCAGGTCTATACACTAGCTGTTTTCTCTATATAGTGTTCAGCAAGAAGCCAAATCCTCTTAACACAGAAATGCAAATTTACTAACAGCTGTAGTTATTTAGTTTGCTAAGGTTGGTGATATTTGCATATGGCAAAACTTGAATGAAGTGATTGCTATTAAAATTGCATTGTCAACACTGTTTTTGTGGCTTTCTCCTTCACCTGACACTATTTAGACTAACACATAAATGCTGAAGTGTAAGATTTATTCTCTTCTTGGCCAGGATAACTTTTGGATAGTTAAAGCTCAATTAGCAGAAGAGTTAAGAAATTCTGGAATTACCTGGTATTATAACCACAGTATGTTACACCTGGCCTTTCACAGGAAAAGAGAGAGAGCTGGGGAGTGAGAGAAAGATAGTACTGGCTGATAAAATCCTCAGAGAAAAAACATCCCTTGGTCAGATGAAAAAAGGCATCCAATTTAAAAAAAAAAAAAAGAAAAGAAAAGAAAAAAAAGAAAGCAAGCTCATATGACAATTAACAGAGTTTCACAGTATTTACAATTGCACAGCTGGCCTTGCTGAATCAGCTGCAAAACGTCTAATACAATTAGACATCATTCGCCTCATTTCTTTCCATGAATTTAGCTATTGAGCTTTGCTATCCATCTCACTGAAAGCTGATGGTATCTCAAAAGAGCACAGGATACTGACCTTTGAAAGGCTGGTGGTGTTTGTAGATAACCATCATCAATTGAATTTATAATGTGCATAGTTACAAGCGTTGCATATCCTACCACACATCATAATCAGATTGTTAGCTATGTTTTGAGAGGAGGTTTTCCAAAGAATAGGGAGAAACTGTAAAACAACTCGCAAACCATCAGAAACACTCCCATCAAGGATGCAGAGATAGTAAATGAATGCACAAATCGGCTTCTTTCATGAATCAGATTAAGCAGTTATATAAATCTTGCCCAGAGCCAGTTTTATTTGAATAGTAAATGGGTTTCTCTGAATCAGAAAGACACCCAGATAGCAAATATTTATTTTAAGTACACCCTGATTTTATTGGCACTCTATTTTGGTTGTTCAGTAGGACCATGTAAAGAATGTTGTTGTCTGAAGGTGCTTGAGAAAGACACAGCAAGGAAGTAATCGTGGGTTTTTTTCCAGCTTTTTTATAATATTACATTTACTTTCAAAACATTTCCTACTTTGTTCTGTTTCATCGAAATTTTCTTTTTAATGAGCAATTAAGCCATCACCAGACACTTACACATTCAAACTTTGGTCAGGGAAACGAGGAATTGTCTGAGGTTGCTGGGTTTTGACTATAACTGCACTGAGCAGAGGATTATTTTTCATGTTTGCTGAGACAGCCTCTTGCCCAGGTATCATTATCCCTCAGTTGTCTGACAGCTGAATGAAGCTTATAAACGTTTCCCAAATGAACTGAGGGAAGTCTTCCATCTTATTAACCACCATACTTTGGCAGAAATCATCTGGTACAATTAATCTCATTTTTCTCTCATACTCCTGGATGTATTCTTTAAAAATCTGCTCACAAATTAAAATTCTTGCTTTCTTCCATCATAAATTCAGAAGTCAGTATTTCAGACTAATTCTTTCAATTAATGTGTAAAGCCTGATCCAGTCCCTGATGAAAGAAATTCCAATTTTGCAATCAAATTCAGTGGTTGGGGAACATGCCCTTACAAAGTAAGAAGTTGTTCAAATAGGATTATATGTCTTACTACTTACTTGAAGCCTCAGATCAGTAGCTAAGCAATAAATCTTGGAGGTCTCTATTACCTTCATCTCGTTTTAGCACAGATGGTAAAAGCTGGTGACCTTTATTTTTTGCCTTTCTGTGCTGAGAGCTGGAGTAATGAGAATATAATGAAGGTCTACTCATTTTCTGACAGGGTAGGAAGCCTCAGATTTTCAGAGCACCTCTCCTCCACCTTTTCCCTAAAGTATTTGTCAGGGAGTTCAACAAAGTGACGCGTGTTCATCTCGTCAATCTCCTTGCAGGCTCCAATATTCAACAGTCTAAATGCACCTTAAAACACTGGGTTTACTGCAAACCAAATGGAGCTGTGCTGCTGTGGTGAGTTAACTTTTCTCATCTGCTCTTCGTAATATCACTCCACCTGGGCAGACGACATAGAGGCAAAAACATTTGGGACCTGTAAACACAGATGTATAGGATAAAGCCATCATTATTTTTACTCCCTGAAAAACAGTCAGTTCTTTGCTATCTTTTAGTGAAGAAAGGGAAATAAAACTATTTTTCACTTCAGTTAAAAACCCCAAATTCCACCTGTTATAGGTGGGATCCTTCTTAAAGGAGATGAGCACAGCTACCCTTAAACTAGTAACCTAAGTGCAGGGAAATTGGCCCAGCCTCTTGGAAATAACTAATAATGTTAATTGCTACTTGGTTGCATCTCAGTACAAGTCTGCACTGAGAAACTTCAGATACTAGGTTTCATTTGTTGCTGAAGGAAAACAAGTATTTAGATACCATTTTAAAAAATGATGCTAAGAGTCAGCTGGGAGTTTGGGTCCGTATCAAAAGCAAGAATGCATACAACGTAGCTGAAATAAGTCTGTATTTGCCCACAAATCACATCACTCATGTAATCCCCAAGCATAATAAATGAAATGCATGTCTCCCCCTCAAGGTCACAGTCTTGCAGAAGGAATCTATAAGTATTGATCTGAGGAGCAGTTAACCAACTTCTGCCTGCCAGTGTCTACGTTTAGACATGTTTTTTGTCTAAACACTATGGGCACCTTCACTTCATTTCACAAATAGTGCTCTTGGATACCTTTTACAACATGGCTGAAGAACGACTTGAAGCTATAATGATTCTTCAGTAGAAAGGCTCTCATTCCTCTGGTTTTGTCAGTTCTGAAAAATAAATACCAACCCCAGAATATTCTGTACTTACATTGTACTCATACCTGTAACTACTGAAATTTTGTCAAAACAGTTGTTCATCACTTCAGCTTCGTGTTTTGGCGTTTAAAAATTTCTCTTTTGTCTCCTAATGAGCTTTTGCTATAAAATAAAAGACTTTTTGATGCAAGTGTAAAAAGTGTAAAAACAAAATCCAAAGAGTAGAATGTACTCTATGCTGACAGTGAGATGACCACACCTTTCAGAAAAAGATGCTGCTGCTTCTACACTATAATGATGAAGTGAGAGGACATACAAATATGTCTACAAGTCTCTGCAGCTTCCGTTTGAGTAAGCATAAGAAACAGGACTCCTTTAACAATTCATGGTCAGATCTAAAGCCCCTTCAATCTAAGGGAAAGTTTTTCTTGATTTCAGAGGACAAGATTTCAGAGGTCAGGCAAATAGCCATTCGCAAATCATGTGTGAAGTGACTCACTCATTGCACGAGTACAAGCTAGATGTTTAGCAAATGAGCCAGAAATTCAACTTACATAATAAGGCTCCAAAACATCTTTTTTTAATGATGTGTTAATTATGTAAAAATTAATAACCAGTGGAGCGGTTTATACATTACCATAAAGCTCTCCAAAAAGAGAAGGTGCTCAAAGAAACGCCTCACATCACTGCAGAAGTGGAAACTAGGACATGCTGATGTGATCCCAAAGCAATTATTATTAAAAGCACTATTTCTGAGGAACCTGGCTCTGACAAAAGATAGAATCCCTCACAAGGGATTTCTATTAAAATATTTACAAGAACACCCAAAAGTCAGTCTCTTTTTCATGCATGTGCTTGTAAAAACGTACCAGAAGTGGAACAATTTAATCTGTTCGTCTTTAGGCGCTTACTTTGCTCTAAGGTGGAAGACTGAGCTGGCACCGATACATGTTGTTACTTACAACTGTTGGAAATAGGCACAAAATTGCAACGCCTCAGAAAAACGCAGGCTCTGCAATCTGATGGCGCACACAGTTTGCTGGACAGAGCTCTGGCCGTGGTTAAGACAAAGCACGTGCTCTGTCACAAAATAGTCACGTAATTACAGTCACTTACTTATTTAGCTGTTTGCTCTTTTCTGATCAGGATATTAAAAACGCTGGGTGTTGGGTCCAGTTCGGGTCTCATTTTAAAACTGTTTTATAGAGTGAAATCTAGGGAAACAGTCCACAGTTAGAGTGTGGATTTAAAATAATTTCAAATGTTTTTACTCAAATAGAATGCTTTTCACCTGCTGCTTACTCTAAGAAATACTCTATTCCATATAAAAATAATCCCATATACAACAAGAATACTGTTGATTTTAATTCATTTTGGTTAAAACTTACTCAGTTCTAATCTTAGAAATGTCTTGTATTCTGTCAATGTTATTTAAAAGTGCTTTAATCTGCAAATGCTTCAAGGTTTTGTGTTAAAAAAGTTTCACACAAGGAATTATCTTTGTACAATTGCATTTTACTATGCTTGCATCCTGGATGGTCCAGGCTACAGAAGGTTATTGAAGACTGAGATGCTTAAAAGCATATCAAAGCAATAAAGGTTAATATGGACTATATATCTTTCATAATAACATACAACAAACCACATACTATTACTGGAAAAGTAAAGTCTATTCGTATACTAATAAAGCAATATACATTACATTAGCAAACATGCCTCATGATATATCATCCCCTTTCCATTTGAAGGAGATGCTTTCTAGCATGTAGAGACTGTGTACTAGACATCTGGGTGATGCTGGGAGACTCCATTTGCTCTTTGCTCATTGCAGGAATTCAGTTGGAGGATGTGGAAAGTAAAGCATGAAAGGTTGAAAAAGCACTTGAATTTACTTAAATTTTTTATATCATGTTAGGCTAATAAACCTAAATGGCCTAAACTGCTAAACTGGAGACAATTTAAATGTTTTATCCCAACATAAAATATTCAAGTGTTTCAATATGCTGACAAAATTCAATCTGAAGTGCTTTTTTTTTTTTTTTTGACTTTTCATCCAAATTTGACAAAATAGGTCAATGTATACCACTGCATAAAAGATGAATTTCCTCTTGCTCAAGAAAAGGAGTTGCTATTTTTGTTTTTTCTTCTTCTTCCTTTTTTACCCTGTACTTTTTTCTCGCTACATCTGATCCTTGTGGAATGAAAGAATATTTTCAATTTGCTGTTTTTCCTTAAAACAATGAGCACAGCTTGAGCACTTACTTGACGTTTGAATAATTTCTTACAGTTTTCAGATAAAATTGGCAGACTGCTATATATAAAATTAGGATATATATCAGTTATCCTTTTCCTGAAAAGGAAAATATAAGGAAAGAGAAAGCATGCGTCTCCTGAGAGATCCACAGTGCTATAGTATTTATTGCTACCACTGCAGTTCTTAAATGCATTTGTTTATAAAGGTCAGTAACTACCATACGATAGCCACTGTTGTTTTTTTTTTAATATATATATACATTCCTGCCTTCCACAGAAAAAGTTAGTACAGTTGAACAGAATGGGAGGGTCTGGTAATACAGAAAAGGACGTGAGGAGGAATTAGTAGTGATGTGACTTACTAAGAAAAGGTGGAAAAAAACATCTTTGCTATTAAAAGAAATACGTCTACCTAGGCAAGTGCTCCAGACACCAATGAGACAACCACTGCAGATGCAGAGGGAACCAGCAGACAGGAATCCCTCTGCACACAGGTCTCCACACGGGTGAGGGCAATCGGCACACGTCTGGAACATCCTGGGCAGGGGGATGGCTCGGGGACCTTGTCCTTGCTGCGACCGTGACAGTAGTCCTGGTCAAAAAAAAACAAAACAAAAAAACCCACACCCCACACCCAACCACCTGATGCAAACAGAGAGGAGTTGTCCGAAAGCTTCACCAGGGCCATTGCTTTCTGCTTGTGATCCTAGCCCTGAAGGATTGATGAGGAAAAAGCTCCTACTAATCTCATAAATTTATTGAGATGGTGGGAAGGAGAACAACAGCTTTTCTTTAGCTGCCTGGTTGAACACTCATTGAAATAAAAGGGTTCCCACAGACTTCCGTCAATAGCTTAGACTTGAAGTTTGAAGCTTTGCTCCATTTTCCTCCTATTTTTAAAAAACAGGTACAACTAAATTCCTTTGCGTTTGTCCTATCAAACCAGAGAGTAAAAATAATAAAGGAAAGGTTCTCTCGCATTCTGCCTGTATACGCCTTGTTTTCACCAGCCTGACCAGGTCTCCTGTTATGAGCCCCTGACTTGTGTTATCAATAGTCACGATAACAGACGGAGCTGCAGCAGCAGCAAACTCCGCCATCAGCTGGCTCCCCTGAGTTTTCCAAAGCTTGACATAGCCAGCGCCTCCACAGGCGATTAAGTTTGCTCCTCTTAAAACACAAACGTGATGAAACGTACAGGCTGAGCAATTCAGCCCTGAGGCATGCTGTTACGCGTGAGCTCACTGTTCCAGTCATTTTAAAATATTTAATAGGACAAACTCGCAAGTAAGTTTCATCCACATGAGCTGTGTACTACACATTAGTTACCTGAAGTGCTCAGTTCCCAAAGCAGTACAAAATACACAAAAGTTATAGGACTACAAATGTTCTTTCAGGAATTTTTAACCTTTATTTTCTGTTCAGGAATATTGTGATCGGAAATAAGTCTCTGTATAAACAGTTTTCTTTATAGGAGTGAACCTAACCGGTTAAACTGAAGATACTTTATAAGGCAGGAAAGAATGTATTCAATAGCCCTTTTAACAGAAGCTGATTTCCTAAATTATAGCAAATAAATCTGCAGCTTTTCTATTTGCTTTGTAGACATAGGTAGATTCAAAGAACGCCTAGTGAAGGCAACAGAAAATACAGTTTATGTTCTCAAGAAGACAGAAAACAGCTGAAGATATCAGTACAGAGCTATGATCTGCCCTGATCTACATCCTATGTAACCTCACTGAATTCCGACACATTTCTTGGGCTATAAATCAGCACAAGACTCATAGTATGAGTCTATGCACGTTACCACTCTTTAGATTATTTAAATTCCTTGTCAGTATCAGTTATGGCCAAATCAGTTCACACAAGGTAGAACAGATCCATAACAAGAGTTAATGCTGTGTTGCTTGGAAAAAATGCAGCATCCGCTTAAAAAAAACCCTCTAATTGAAGCATTCTTTTTAAGAGAAAAAGAAAGGTTCTTACTAACATAACCATTAATAACCTTCCCCCAAAATTCATTTTATTCATTACAGAGAAATTGAGTCAAACCAGTATACAGAAAATACTTTACAATACCTGTCACTGAAATATTCTTTCTATCTAGAAAGAAAAGCCTCATAATAGCGTTGTTGCAATACGTGTAAGTCATTAGAGTCACCTGCAGACATCACACGTCTCTGGGAAGACATTCTTCAAGCAGAACCACACTGCTGTTTTATAACTGAGTGTCTACAAGACATATTCCAAACTATTATCAAAGAGCTTATAGCTGTAAAAAGACATTAGAGAAATTCATAGCTAATTTTCCCATTTTTGTACCTATTGCTCTATGGATTTCAGTCTCTTTTGAGGAGAACGTTCACAGTATTACCATTTCATAATAATGAGCTACATTCTGCCATCCTTCATCATGGTAAAGAGAATCTCCATTTCCTGGGGATTAATCACTGAATTTCAGTGGAACATTCATTGACTAATGATCAAACTCAACAAAAAAGGCGGCAGATGGTGGCTGTATGAGATTTCCGACGCTTTCTTTAATGAGGACAAAATATATTCACTGCCTTATTTGCACATTCCAACCACTACATCAGTGAGTTATCTACAAACAAGCAGCTGTCGGAACAGAAAGCATTACCTAATTATGGGGCAAGATCCTCAGCCAACATATATGGGCCTAGTTGCTTTTAAGTCAACAGAGATGCACAGTTTACATCACCTAAATATTTGACTTCTGAATTCTGGAGATTCTTTGTTGAACTTTAGGATCAGCATAAGTCACTTACTGCAGGGAGCCCAAGCAATATTAAAAACACAGCTCCTTAGTCATCATTGCTTTTCCACTGGCTTCAACAACTCTACACTGGTTTACTCAAGATTGTATCAGCAGCCGGCTGACGTACAGAGCCCTAAAGCTTAATAAGCTTATTGTTCCGTTGACATAACAGTGACATTCACAGTATTGTAAGTCTCCCTCATCTAAAATATTTAGCTCCTTAGAAGCCAAACAGATATGCATCATAGCTGGCATACATACACAGTAGATCACTAATTTATTTCTTGCAGCCCTCCTGGGTGTTGCATGCACCAGAACAACTGCATTCCTTGAAATGTACATACATCTCTATATTTATTTTCCCATCATACTGACTAGGGAGTAAGGGGAGAGGGAGCCAAAATAAGAACTGTATAGAGAAAATGGCTTGACAGATACTTTCAATACACTTTCTTCTGCAGAAGACTCTACAGTATTTCTCCTCTGCTAGGCTACGGTTTAGTGTGGGTCATAATTACAGATTTCCAACCAGTGTGGTACTTAATACATTAGACTGCTAGTCTGTACAGAGTGTCAAACCAGTCAGATTTTCAAGTTCTGAGAAGCCCCCAGGGTAGAGTTCTGCAAAGCTCAGCTTCATGAGCAGTTAGTGTTATTTACAGTCTGGAATTAAACAAGGCAAAAATTAAGGGAATGCTTCTAGCCTAAGATAGTAATATAAAAACGCTGATGTAGATCTGTGACAGTAAACAAAAGCAATAGCCTTGAGAATATGAAGAACATGTGGAAGTGAATAAAGTGAACACCACCTCAAGGCTGCCTTTTGTCACTCTGACAGGACAAAATTGTAAATAATCCCCCCAGGTCTATACTCAATTGACAGGAATATACTGGCACACAGGATACTATACGCACAGGAAAATACAATATTTCATCTCCAGCTCACAACAGTATTATTTGGATAAGTTGCTTTCTCATCTGATTTGGATTGCAGAAACTTTGGAGGATTGAAGTTGAAGATGGGTCATATTAAAAAAAATTATTACCAGCACAGAAATATATACAAGTTCTATATGAAAGCTCACTTTTAAAAAGTTAGCAGAACTTGGATTCTTACAGAGATGTAATAGTGGTCACTGCATAAAACCAGAGAAAAGTTGTTTTTACAAATTGATTATGTAATAGAGGTTTTCTATGGAAAAATCAGAAAGGTTGGAAAAATGAGCAACCGAAAGCTTCCAGATTCCTTTGAAGAGAAAGTTCTCCAAGCAGATGAAAATCAAACCATGACAGTATTATGCCTTCTATTTCAGAGATGCCTGTTTGGCACAGAAAACCATGCTATTTGGAGTGCTGGGGCTTTGGGCAGGCATTGCTGGCTCAACTCCATCTGTTGTCAGCAGGACTGAAAGGTCTTTGCCCTGCTTTGCTGTGTGCAAACCACAGGTAATTCATGGACTTAAGTGAACAAGCTTCACTCAGAATATTTAAATAATCAGGTAAGCCAGCTTCTAGGTATGCAGGAGCAGGTTATTATTATAAACAGAAGACACATGCATTTATAATTTGTTTTCCCTGTTAAAAGAAATAGTCAAAAAATCAGTGTAATATTTATTCAAAGGAAGAAATCTTCCTTTTAAACAAAGTTTAATAATAATAAACATACTATCTTATCTTCTGCCAGTAATTCACCAGCTGTGATGTTCATTCTCAGGTACTTTAAAATAAATGTTTACTCCTAACTCATACATGCTACGAAGTTTGCAAGGCAAAGGTAGAGCAAATACTTACATATGGCATGTTTCAGTACTTTAAAACCTGATCCAAAGACAAACGAGAAAGCAATCACTCAGATTTGGAAATACCAGTATCTTAGAACCTGATTTTATGAATTTTCAGCTTTTCCTGTAAGATCTTTGTCAAATGAAAAACGCAGCTAAAGTAGCATCTAAGTTTCTGATGCAAATCTAAATAAAAAACAACTGTTTTTTTTTTTCTAAATTGGACTGAAGGGCCTTTTGCTGCTCTGCATAGCTCTCCCCTCGCTGCTTAACACCTATCCTTTGAAGAGGTTTCACTTCAGGCTTAGATCATACAAACTTGTCATGTTCTGAGAAACAAGGACAATGCAAGGTTCTGACATGAATGTGAGGCTCTGCATTACAAGGTGTGTATTTGGGACCATCTTAGAAAAGCTCAGCGCTGACTGCTTATAGACTTTGGATTTCCTGCCTCGATTCATTCCTTCAATCTTAGACCGGTGGATGGAAGAAATGGGGAAGAATGAAGCATTTCTCACTGTCCCTATTAAGTTGTAATAAGGTACATTCTCAAGGGCTTTCAGTCCTGCCTCCTTAAAGTCAGCACAAGCCAAAGCTTATACCTTCTTTCACTGCCTATGTAATTGCCAATTCTATTAGCAAAAATTGAACTTGGAATCTTCAGTATCAGAAAGCGCCTAAATTAAAGGCTGAAATTCGTTACCTGCTATCGCTGCTAAAATTAGCTGCTGCAAGACACTCAGACTAAGCCAGCAAATGTTTCAAACAGCTAAATTCATACAGATTCCAAATTAAATCAACAAGGTATAAAGATTACATATAGCATCATTTTGATGATTTTTGCGTAGACTGTATTTTCATGCATACTCTGCTACACAGAAAATATCTTATTTTGATGACTGCCTGGTGATGTGGACCCCACTGTCCTTTCAGTCACTCCACTCAATCACACACACGCATATAGACTCAGGAGAAAAATGCTTAAATTAAAAAAAGTCCACATTATGCTAAAGTTCAATCTAAGCATACATTTGTGTCCTTTACTCTCAAAAAGCTCCAGTTTGGTCATATCTGGTAAGTAACACAGCTTGGCCACAAGCCAATACCTCAGCCCTCCCAGGCAGTAATGGGGTCAGCCTCGTGAAATAATAATGGCACATTTCCGGACAATCTATTCAGCAATAAATATTCTGCCAGCTGTAACTAGAGTACGTGGCAGTAAAAACGCAGCACAAAGAACATCATACTGACACCCCTCCTCACCATCCTTCAGCTTGAACAGAAACCTGCTTTCATGTGGCTCAGGTAGAAGACTGTAATTAGCCCTGTAAAAGATGCACAAATAAACCAGGCACAATTTAATCTAGTCATGCCTTGCTACTACAGAGAGCATTCTATCAGCATGACTTCTAATAGATTGTACTGAATTTTGAATTGCATTGCCATAAAAATGCCCTCTCACGACAAACTGGAGCAGAACAGTAACTGCCACAAATACTATTTCCCTACCAAAGTAGAACAAAGAATTTGGCTTGCAGCAGTGACAGCCTTATGGGATGCATGTTCTGATCAGCAGGCGTATCAGTGATATTACTAGTGTCTACAGTGTTCTAAATACATATTTGTACACGAGTAGCTTGTAACATATGTTATCTGCTATGATGACATCCTAATCAAGAGGTATTCAGATCTACAGCATGGATACACAGGTATTTCAACTGCAAAAAAATATTGTCACCATGTTTTCAATGAACAGCGCAGAAATAAGCACTAATACATATTTTTTAAGTTTTAACATTTGCTTTTGGGAATAAAAAAGGCAAATCAATGATCAACAGATTACAGGCACAAGATTTAGCCTGCCTGCAAGCAGACTGTGTGGCATGAAGATGTTTTATTCTCTGTTGATTTACATTGATTTTCTTCTCCATGGCACATAAAGCTTTATTTAAAAGGACTGGAGCCAATAACTGGAATCAGAAAATATCAGCAACTGATTGACAAGACGCTGTAGAGAGAACAAAACAAACTATCATCCTAGTTATATGCCTGTGCGTGTAAGAGTGCAAAGAAGTCAGCTATTCTCAAGCAGAGCACGACTATGATGATGGTCATCTAGCGCACCATAAAGGCCAGGAGGAAGGGCTGACTCGAGAAAGCTCAAGCAGGGACTCAGTCCTCTAGCAGTTCCTGTTGATAGCTAGTGGGGATTCGTTTTATCCAGGTGTTAGCCACCTAAAGCGTAGGTGACTAATCCAAACCAGTTGCCTAGTCTCCTACTATGGTCAGCGGAGACTCAGAGAGCAGCTCATCCCATCTATGTAGGCCAGCTAAAGACAGAGCTAACCTTTTCCGGAGACGAAAAAACAGATAAGCATTTAGATTATTGAATTTGGGGAGGTCAAGCCTGCTGCTAGGCATCAACTGAAAACAATGCAATAATGCCAATTAATATTATTCTTGGTTTATTGCAAACATCGCTGCTTCAGAGATTCAAACAGAGTTGTAGTCAGTCATGAGCCATGATTACTTTACAAGCATGTATTGACAGCTACAGTTTGTTCCCTAAATGTAGACTTGTGGTTGAGGATTATTATATAAAACTATTTTTAAAATACAATATATATAAAGAGATACTATGCAGCCCTAAAAGGCATTTTTCTCCTTTTCCAGAGCACTGTCAATACACTGTATGTAATGTGTTTATGGCCATTTTCCTTGCTAATTTTATATCTTAAAAGGCATAGAAAGATGCATTTGTTCTGAAAGCGTCAGAGATGATAAAAAGACACAAAAGCAATTTATCCCATCCTATCCCTCCTGTCTTAGTATAATTCCCTAGTAAATAACTGCTGCGTAAGTCACCTTTTTAGGTACAGCAGCTTCTGTATTCTTTGAATTTAAGTTTAGAGATAAAATGTTTTCAAATTATGTCTCACTATATTTTTCCTAACATTGGTAAATATTAGGAAAATATGAATTACTACAAAGTAATATCATTAATTAGTACAGTAACTTAAAACTGGTACCTTAGTTTGAAAGAGATATGGTGCATAATTTCCTCAACTGCACTGCATCCTTTATAGCAATATTCTCTCCCCTGTGATGTGCAGCCAGATCTAAATCTTCCTGCACTGAATTGTCAACTAGCCAGTGAGTTACTAAGCTGTGAGCAAATTAAACTTCAATAAATAAATAAACAAATTTGCAGGTCTTAAAGTAAGACAAGAGAACTGTGTATCAGAGGCAGGGCATGAACCAGTGACATGAGGGTTAAAAGATGTAACTTTCATCCAAATCCCCCGCTTATATTTGCGCAATTCAATGCTTTGCTTTTCAGGTAGTCCTATGCATATTCAGTAATTCTGACATCTCCAGAATATAGCAGACTCGCAGCCCTTACACAGAAGCAATTCTATTTCACATGCAGTAAAAATAAGGTACTGGGACATGACATTACACACAGATTGCTCCGGCTGTGCACACTGTCTGGGATTGCAGGATACCATCACCTTGCTCTGCAAGTTACAATGGCATCCAGTGGAGTAATAATAAGTTAGTAGCTGGCTTCCTTAGCAGTAGGATTGATAAGTGTGCCCAAACTCTGTTCCCCTTTGTAGGGCTGTAGACATCTCCCAGCTCAGTCCTCACTGCTTTCTGAATCACTCCTCATCAGGTTTTAGATGAGGACCTAGCTCTCTCCATTGAGTCAGCTGAGGGGGAAATTTAGGTCATATGATGTGCCCCCTCCTAGCTTACCTGTCCTCTAACGCACTGACACTGCATGCAGTGACTCCTTTATTCATGCGTAACTCCAGTTCTTCCTGCACTAGCTTGACATCATCCTGAACACCAATAAAAATAAGGTCTGTACATTGCTACACCCCAATATATGTGCTTTGGCTAGGCTTATATTCATTAATTTACAGTCTGGCTTCTACAGATTGAAATAGCTTTTAAAAAGATGCAATTTGGGGAAACATTGGTAGTACATCTCATTTTAAATGCAATATAATTCTTGAAGCAATAAATTACACTGATAGTAATTTTAGATAAGATATATTTGCATTTAAAGCAGGAATGTATTTTCCACCTGTTGGTATTCCAACTAGGCATATTTTATAGCAGCAATCTGTTTCAAAGGTGTTGTATACATTTGTTTTATGTAAATGAGATTCAGGGAGGCTCCATCTTCAAGTTTAATTTAGAAGATGAAAATACTTAAATAAGGTTCCCTTGCTATAATATCTCTACTGGCCACACTTGACCTTAGCTTCATGACACTAATTTAAAAATCTTAATATTTGGACTTTCCCCTAATTTATTCTTCAGAAACAGAGTTGCAACTACTTTTTGTATTGTTACAGCTGTTTAAAATAGGGCTATGGTTGCCTTTTTTTTTTTTTTTTTAAAAGAAGTCAGACTAGTTAGACAGGTATAAGAGTTCAAAGACCTAATATTGCTATACATGTTCACATAAGTATAGCTCATTCTCTTTCCATTAAGGAGTAAGATATCTGGATATAATTGTACCATATCCAGAGCTGGGCAAATCATTCTAGTCATTAATCTCAAACTCTTTGTATTTAGACAAGCCCTAACATAGCATTAAGAGAAGACTCTTTTCCAGGAAACGCATATTCCTGGGCTTTCAACCTCAAAGAAGTAACATTCCTCAGAGAATAATTCTGATTAGACGAAGCCATGAGTATAACTCACACAAACCTCAGCATCAGCGTTCTGGATAACGGGGAAAAGCATAAAGGCAGAAGCTTGATACTATGTTACAACACTGAGATCAAGGCAGCAAAAATATTACTTTGGGCTGGGGAGGAGAGGCATTTGATAGAGAAGTTTTTGCCTATGAGATACCATCAGGGATCAGAAGTACTTTAAACTGGTGCATTAGATTTAGACTGCCATATTCCCTACAGCTACACAATACACATCCAACTTTCAACGAGTTTGTGCTAGACTAAGTCACTTTGACTTTGTCCAATTGCTGAGGAAGAAAAAACAGAAATACATGCATTTGGAACTGAATCTAGTGACTTCACAAAATGTCACTAGAAAGGTTAAGCAACTGCATGGTCTAGCAAGTAAGCACCGAGCCACAACCCACAACACTGATTCCCTGGCCAGCTCAGCTGCTGAATTTCTGCATTTCTTTTAAAGCCATTTTCCAGCACTATCCTTAGCTTTACACATGCACTGTGAACTCTCTGCACACAGACCTTCTTCCAGCATCTGCTAATATATATGTGCTTCGCTACAGAAAAAACAGTAAACGAAGTTGACTGAAGAAGTCAGTTTGGTCTGTGGGCTAGAGTGAATTTAGTGTGCATTCAAGTGAAAAATTAATAGCACTATATACTGGGCTTTCTTTGAGAAACTGGTGTTTTCACCATAGGAATATATATGTCAAGGTCCAAGACAAAAAGTCACCTTAGTTTATGTGGTGGTTTGTAATATGGTGAAAAGTTTAAGAACATTACAAATTTACAAGTTTCATTTTTATTAGCTTTTGATACACCAGCGTTTGAATAGACACTGCCCAGTGTGGAAACCAAAATGTTACGTTATTTACTAAACTAGCTCTCATTTCAAAATGCTTGTCTTGTAGTCACAACCATCTTAACCATGTGATAAGCCACCCGTCTAAGCGATGAGCATTCCAAATAAAGCAAGGGAATAATCTGCTAGATGTTAAAAAGGGGATGTCCTGTTTACATTACCAAGAGTCACATGCTATGCGGGGCTTGGCATGTTATAGGGACTGCTATAAAGCCATGCTAAAGAGAAGCAAAAAGCACTGAGGTCAAATCCTGTACAGCTTTCTGATACAATCTCTCTCCTTTAAATCAGTGAAAGTACTGGAATAAGAAAAGCAGGATTTCTCCCATATGTTGCACATTCCTTGAAGCAAGGATTATGTATCAGAGTTCATGTGTATATCTAGGGTTTCAGATAAGCAGTGAAATCAAACTGCATTTTCCTAACACCATTAAGACTTCAATATCTCTTCCTTAGCAAGGCAGGGGAAAACAACGTGCTATTGTTTTAACATTTTCTATCAGTGTGGGTAAAACTGCAGAAGAAGCCAATACCTTGAAAGACTAGAAGAGAAGGAAGGGGTTTACTACACCTCTACTCTTCCATTTGTGCTTGCAGTTAAAAGCAAGTTTCACTTCCATGCAGTGCCATCATGCTAAAAGTCAGCATCACCATGACAACCAGGAAAGTGTTTGATCTTCTGCCCAGTGTCAATCAGCAAGAAGATAACAGTAGAGCCTGTATTTGAGCTAATTACCTAGAGGAAAACAAACTGATGACATTTAAAGTCTTGCTACATATAAGTCTTCCTTACAATAATCTCATACATACATGCTCTGAACTTACATAATTACTGATGTCTGAAATGTAAATCAGAACAGCTGGTATTGATTTCACACACACACACCCCCTCCTCGTTTCAATTCATTAAAAAGATTTCTGGTCCCCTGCTATGAAAGCTCACAGGGGGAGAGCAGACGGCTTCCTTCAGCACCATCAGCAGGGGTGAAACAGGCCATCACACAAGCACAGCCACATGCTGCTTCAGAGTCAGAGGACATGCCTACATAGATGATGGTTGCTGGTGAGGTACATCATCTTTATTTCTCTCAGAGGACTGATGCACTGAGCGATGAATCACTGAAACCAAACGCTGGACAGTGAAGTTCAAGGAAACTGCGAATACAGTAGCTACGATTTAGAATTCATCAGTAAGATCAAATTTACAAATTAGGAGAAAGTTTATTTAAGCATACTGTGAGTGTTTCTTTTCTGTGTTTTCCTCAATGGATATTCGCTTGCTCCAAAAAAAAAAAAAAAAACCCTCCTACTACCATTTGCTAAAAATCTTGCAGGATCGTCACATCTAGTAACCTTACGTAAAAAACACACCACGCTGTGCCAGGCACTTGAAACTTCATTAAGAGGTATTATCTTAAGTCCGCTACGTGTCAGCTCATGACTGAATGAGCTCTTCGTATAAAGTTGATTGAGAGTTTTATTTTCATCTCACGAGTAAAACACACATTCTCCGTTACGACAGCCCACTGAGCTCTTCTACATAATATGGATGTATAACTTGTTTCTGTAAATTATGCAGTAACAACTGAAAACTATCTGGTAATTTTCGCTTATAAGATATTTTCTCTCCTAACTAAAAGCAAACAAGGAACAACTACTCAGGTATTTTTACTGTAATCAAGTCCATACTGTATTCTGCTAGTTCATTTCACTGAACTTTCTCACACTCTCTCTGAATTTCTAAGACCCAAGACCCTTAAGATTTTAGAATAAAATGTAGTTCAAATGTTGAATAAGAACCAGGTGTGGTTTTTTTAAGTTCTGTACTTGTATAACACTGTGCAATAGTCTGCTAAAAATTCTAGTGACAAATAATCAATATTAAAAATATTTGCCTACATAATTGTAAGAAACTTACTAAAGTGAGGCAGTTGCCTTTAGAAGGTCTTATTTAATTAGTAAAACCTATGTGAGAAGCAATATACTTCACATTTATTACATTACAAAGACTACTCTCTCAAGCATCATCTTAAGTAGTCCAATATAAACTCTAATTACAAGTTTCCTTTTAACATAATTGGATATGTTCTTATGCATTCTAAGCTCTCCACCTATTATTTAAGAATACTAAGAGGGTACAGGTTGCTCAGAAAGGGAAGACAATGAAAAAGAGATTATCTTGTGTATTAAGAAATCATGCACCTTCTCAAAAATCTGTCAGTAAAGTTAAAAGGAAAAACAGAGCATGGGAGCTATCACAGCTCACCACAGATCCCTAAATTCAGAAAGTTAAATATACAATTTTTTTTTTTTAATGAGCAACTAGCAGAAGCATCAAGAGCACAGAACAGTACAATAGCACAAGAATGAAAAGACAAAAATCGGAAAATCAAAGGCACACTACAACAACAGGCAACTGGCCTGAGCCAAAGAGAAGAAATCATTCTGTACGTTACTAATAAGAGGAAGACCAGGAAAAGTCTCGGTTGATTACAAAGACAGAAAAAAGGTTTTGGCAAACAGTGCCAAGGCAGCCAAAATTTTCAATGCATTTTTTAAATTAATCTTACAGTTGTCAATAAGGTAGTTAATGACAAAAAGATAGAGCTCTGCTTGAACAGGTTGCCCAGAGAGGTAGTGGAGTCTCCTTCCCTGGAGATTTCAAAACCCGTCTGGATGTGATCCTGGGCAATATGTTCTAGAGGTCCCTGCTTGAGCAGGGAGGTTGGACTAGATGATCTCCAGAGGTCCCTTCCAACCTAAACGATTCTGTGATTCTGTAATTTAATCAAGATAATCCTTCCTTAAAACAGGATACAGGAAAACAAAAAATGATGTCCTGTCCTACTTGTCTTTGATTTTATTAATACAACCAAGGTAATCTGAACAAGGAACATGAGACAGAAGTTTGTCATTAGTGAATAAAACATGGAACTGACATCAAGAAACATAAGCTCTATTACTGACTCTGTCAAGATCAAAGTACCCTAATATCAGAGAAAGTCAGAAAGGGTGAAATATTGGTTTAGGACTGGGCAGTTAGAGTTACAGCTGAAGACAGCCTCTAGAGACCAGGGGTTAAAGTCGTCTTGTTGTCCATTTGCTTACCAAAGGAGTGAAATGCAAGAGTTTTTTGACCTAACAAAAGTTTGAGGTTGAAAGAAAACATCCTCTCCTCCCACGCTTTTCAGCTTATTTCCAATAAGTATTTTTGTTAATGAGTTATTATTGAGCATTACAAAGTTAAATCTTACCATACACCAATGCAAGTGAAGATGTAGGTTTAAAACTCAAGAAACCCAAGTTTCAGATACCTGCCTTATACATAGATATTATCTTAGCATCCAAGCACTTCACCTGCATAGCATTTTTGTAAGACAGGACAATACTGCTATCCCCTCTTCTGCCAATGAGAAATGAAAACTTCAAAATGGTGATTTGCCAGGGGACTTAAAAAAAAATAAAAATCTGTGGTGCAGTACAGAACAGATGAGTTTCCTCAAATACCAGATTATAGTTGTAAAAATTGAAACTCTCTCTTCCCCCTGCTCCCCAAGTACTTGGCCATTTCCCATGGCTCCATACAAAACCAGCTGTAGTATTAAAAAGATGAGCCACAGACCGAGAAATTGGAATTAAATCTAGACAAAACTATCCTATAGAGTTAGGGAATAATTCTGCAATCTAAATCACATCCACTTATAGATGCGAGAGATTGGCTCTATGAAAGAGGCTAATTCATCTAAACAGACTACCAGACTTCTGTATTTTAAGCTTTTCTGAAATGATTCAGCTCTCACAGAAGTATTACCTTACTGCAAGCTTTCTTGTAGAAGTGTTTAACTGCAGAAAAATGAACTAAAAAAAAATCCA